GTGAGCGAGCGAGTGGGTGTGTGAGTGAGTGAGTGAGTGAGTGAGTGGGTGAGTGAGTGAGTGAGTGTGTGTTTGAGTGAGTGTGTGTGTGAGCGAGTGAGTGAGTGTGTGTGTTTGTGTGAGCGAGTGTGTGTGTGAGTGAGTTTGTGTGTGTTCTGTCCTGTTCTCCTTTAGGTGTATTTCATCCATGATGAAGAGGAGGAGGAGGAGGAACAGCCAGCTCCAGAGCCGCTCCGACCCGTAAACGACAGGCCGCTCAAGTTTAAAGACCATTACTGCAAGAAGCTCAAGTTCTGTGACGTGTGCGCGCGGATGATCCTGTGTGAGTTCAGAGGTCAAACGATGCCACACATGCTTCAGTCTCACCGATAAATCTGGCTTTTTTCTTTCTTTGTCTTCTAGTCAATAATAAATTTGCTCTGAGGTGCACAAACTGCAAGACCAACATCCATCACCAGTGTCAGAGCTCCGTGGAGTTTCAGAGGTGCTTCTGCAAGATTGTTAGTGATTCCTGATGTTCCTCTGTGTTACTTTGCACTTTAAGAACGACTGTTAATTAATGCATTTGTGGCTTACACTTCAAATCTGTCAATGCAACAAGACAATGTGCACTTAGTGAAGCCGTAGCTTGTGTAGTTTTACTTCTCGGGTAAGTTGAACTTGTTTTAGTTGTATTTATTTCACATATTCCAGCCTCCAGGTTTCAGACGTGTGTAGAGTTCTAGCAGTCAGCAGAACTCCGCTGCTTCCGCTCTGAGTCTCAGGCATGTGACTTCATTACAGGCCTCGTTATTTAAAGCAGAACTCACAAACTTTACTGCTGCATCTGCAGAAAGACTCGCAGACACTCTTTCCTGAAGATTCGCTCACTCTGACGAGGAGAATATCAACAAGTTCGTTATTTTCACCTTCTCAGTTCATCACAATGAGATTCAGATCAACTTTACACGTATTAACAAAATCTTACGTCATCTCCTTTTCTGTGGATTTCTGCTGTTAATCGTGATTCAGTGTTTTTACTCAGAATATTCACTGCTACAGAAGTTTCATTTAAGTTAGCCGATGTCCAAACAAAATGAATTATTTCTGCTGCATAAATAATAATAATAATAATA